AATAAAGCTTCTGTGACTATATGTGCATTCCTGGCTTTTTAATAGCTTGCTTCTTTGATGTTCACATTCTAAGCTTGTAACTAATCTGAGACTGAAACTAGAAAGAGAGTTGTAGGTGCTCATGGAGAAAAGACCTGTTGGCAACCCAGTGTCAACATCATCCACACTTCAAGCATAGTGCTTTCTGGCCATATCTTCCAAAAGTTCAAAATGTGGGTGAGAAAGCAACATGCCTGGAGGATTCAGCTCAGAAGATAACCATTTCAGAGTCTATACATCTTCATTTGGTCATAATAAGTGGTTAAGAATGACCCCCATTTTTTAAAGGCTATTACAAGTCATTTTGTCTCATTTTTATACCTGAGAGTATTTAATTCAGTTGTTCTCAAAGTGCAGGCTCCAGACCACCAGCATCACCTGGGAACTTGTTAGAACTATATATTCTCATTTGTTCATCCAGTCCTGCTGAATCAGAACCACTGGGGAGAGGGCCCAGTAATCTGTTTTAAAAACCCTCCATGTGATTGTCATGCCTGCTGAAGTTAGAAAACAACCAGTTTATGTTGATCAGTGTATGCTTTTCGTTAAGCATATTGAAGAGCAACTTTGCCAATGTCTGATTCATAGTAGGCTCTCAGTAAACATTACCTTGGTAATGAAAATATACTTAAATTGTAATGCAGCATTCTGCAATGCTTACTATCATATTTTAGTCCTTTTGTAACTGTATACTCAGGAATGAGTAGTTGCCCTCACAGATTATTCATTTTCTTTCCCTTTAAGATGAGCTCTTCAGCTTTTTAATTTAATATGAAAGGTTATCTTCAAAGAAAAGTGTGGTCTGATGCTTCGGTTATTTAATTCTCTGGAGAGTCGCTGAGAAGCAAAGCTGGCTCATGCCAGTCATTTCTTCCCATTTTTTTAGAGAAATAGTCACTTCACTGTCAATAATGATTAGTGAGTTTTTTTTTCCTAGTCTCTTCTGCAGGGCCAGGCAGAAGTTCAGTGGCCATGAGTTTGTTGTTTTAAGACTTCTAAGTTGGCTTTGAGTCTGCTTTGGCAGCAAATTCACCCAAGGGCTTTAATACTCTCAGCTTTGCTTCAGTAATATGTGAAAATGGGGAAAAATCAATCATGAAGAATTTTGAAGTGCAATAGATTTATGGAGACAAATGGGCTCATATTGTGACATGTGAATTCATATATATTATATTTCCAAATAATTTCCAGTGTGTGAAATCCTGAGTAATCAGGGACTCCAGATTTAGTGGCATTCTTGTGGTACAAATCTCTTTTGCATCTTGTCAGGCACTTGCCCTCTGGGGTTGAACAGCATCCCTGCACATGAGCACACCCAGCGCTTGTGGAGGGTTCCTCACATTGGGGCATCACAGGGAGAGTCAGGGTCTGGAATGGGGTATGTGTCCCATGGGTACGTGTCATGGCAAATCCCTTAGTCCAGGGATGACAGAAGTTTAGAGCAGACCTTGCATGAGGCAGGGTGGGGAGGTGCGGATGGCCAGGGGGCGCTGACACTTTATCAGGAAGTTGAAAAAGTGCGGTGGGGTGAGAGGGAAGTGGCCTGAGGGAGTCAGGAACCTGGATAACTGAGGGCCTCCCTGGGTAGCGTTCCTTGTGGTTCCAGTAGGGAAGCGGGTGGGAGACGCTGCTCGTATAGAATTGCACCAAATGATGCTCACCACCACCACGAAGCTCCCCTCCCCGCTTTTTTTTTTTTCCTGAGTGAAACCAGCTACTGACATCACAAGCTCTGGAATGGTAGCTGGATTTGTAGTCGAGCCCTGGCCAGCATTGTTAAGTTTGGTCCCCCAAATTTCAGTCTGTTCATTCAAAGAGAGGGGAGAATCGAACATAGAGCCCAGGGTTTGGAGGGCAGCCTGTAAAGACCTGCATTTTGAAGTCCACAGATACTGGACACCTTCCAGATGCCAAGAACCACGGAGACACTCGGGATGAAGTGACAAGCAGGACTTCTGCCCTCAGGGAGTGCCGGGCCTCGTGAAGGAAACAGATCTCTAAACAGGTTATTATAATCCCATGGGATGGACTTTGTAGGTACAGAATGTTACCTGAATCAAATAAGGGTCCTGGTGGACGGTTCTGACAAAACGTGGTCCACTGGAGAAGGGAATGGCAAACCACTTCAGTATTCTTGCCTTGAGAACCCCATGGACTGCATGAAAAGGCAAAAAGATAGGACACTGAAAGATGAACTCCCCAGGTTGGTAGGTGCCCAGTATGCTACTGCAGAAGAGTGGAGAAATAACTCCAAAAAGAATGAAGAGATGGAGCCAAAGCAAAAACAACAGCCAGTTGTGGATGTGACTGGTGATGGAAGTAAACTGCATTGCTGGAAGGAGGAATATTGCATGGGAACCTGGAATGTCAGGTCCATGAATCAAGGCAAATTGGAAGTGGTCAAAGAGGAGATGGCAAGAGTGAATGTCAACATCAGTGAACTAAAATGGACTGGAATGAGCGAATTTAATTCAGATGGCCATTATATCTACTACTGTGGGCAGGAATCCCTTAGAAGAAATGGAGTAGCCATCATAGTCAACAAAAGAGTCCAAAATGCAGCACTTGGATGCAATCTCAAAAACGACAGAATGACCTCTGCTCGTTTCCAAGGCAAACCATTCAACATCACAGTAATCCAAGTCTATGCCCCAACCAGTAACACTGAAGAAGCTGAAGTTGAAAGGTTCTATGAAGACCTACAAGACCTTCTAGAACTAACACCCCAAAATTATATCCTTTTCATTATAGGGGACTGGAATGCAAAAGAAGGAAGACAAGAGATACCTGGAGTAACAGGCAAATTTGTCCTTGGAGTACAGAATGAAGCAGGTCAATGGCTAACAGAATTTTGCAAAGAGAATGCACTGGTCATAGCAAACACCCTCTTCCAACAACACAAGAGAATACTCTACACATGGACATCACCAAATGGTCAACACTGAAATCAGATTGATTATTTTCTTTGCAGGCAAACATGGAGAACCTCTATACAGTCAGCAAAAATAAGCCTGGGAGCTGACTGTGGCTCAGATCATGAACCCCTTATTGTCAAATTCAGACTGAAACTGAAGAAAGTAGGGAAAACCACTAGACCATTCAGATATGACCTAAATCAAATCCATTGCAATTATACAATGGAAGTGACAAATAGATTCCAGCGATTAGATCTGATAGACAGAGTGCCTGAAGAACTATGGACGGAGGTTAGGTTCGTGAAATTGTACAGGAGGCAGTGATCAAGACCATCCCCAAGAAAAAGAAATGCAAAAAGGCAAAATGGTTGTCTGAGGGGACCTTAAAAATAGCTGTGAAAAGGAGCGAAGCTAAAGGCAAAGAAGAAAAGGAAAGACATACCCATTTGAGTGCAGATCTCCAAAGAATAGCAAAGAGAGATAAGAAAGCATTCCTCAGTGATCAATGCAAAGAAATAGAGCAAAACAATAGCATGGGAAAGATTAGAGATCTCTTCAAGAAAAGTAGAGATATCAAGGGGACATTTCTTGCAAGGATGGGCACAATAATGAACAGAAACAGAATGGACCTAACAGAAGCAGAAGATATTAAGAAGAGGTGGCAAGAATACACAGAGGAACTATACAGGATGGGCTGAGATGATTAGGGTAAACCTAGAGTGCAAAGTGGGATGTTTCTGAAGGGCACTCATCTCTATAACCCCATAGAATACTGGATTCAGAGTCCCTCTAAGGTAATAGTTTTTAATTTTAGAATGCATGAAAATCACTTAAGTTACTAGGGAAAAAATAAAAATTCCTAGAACCCAGCTTTAGAGATTCTGATGATAGCTCTGGGGTATGTCCCAGAAATCTGCTTTTTCAAAAAATACCCCAGGTGATTCTGATATACATGGAGAATACTGCTCTGGAAATGTGGCAGGTTTCTGCTGAGGAAATTATTCTAGGTGTGGCTGTCTTATTAAACCATAGATTTTGTGTGACCAGGAGGAACTCCACTGTTCATGGAACACTTATTTCAGTGACTTTACCTCTCCTTTTAGGGAAGCTGAGAATTTCCAGGCCAAGAAGAGCAACCTGAGGACTCTATTTCCAAAGGCCCTCAAACTCCTTCAGACAAATCCAGAGGGGAATCTGAGACCAGTGCCGCCGTTTGTCTGTGATAGCGGAGGGTAAATCACTGGGATGAGGGGACTACTTCCGTTAGCGTTTGACTTTTGGTCCTTTTGTTTTAATCTCCTTGTTTCTGCAAAGGTGGCTGGGGTCAGCATAGTGGGTCAAAAAAAAAAAAAAAAAAGAAAGAAACAACCCTCAGTGAGAGAGGTTGGGGATCTTCACTCTCCATTCCAAACCATGATGCTGATGACTTGAAGATATCACCAGACACTCATGATACAGAGGACAGATTCTGCCCGCGGGAGAATGAGTCTCTGAAGAAAAGTTTAGAATCATCTTCAGAGCCTTTGAAGGGGACATCTGAGCCTCCTGTGGGCGACGTTACACAAGAGCTTGCCGTGCTTCCAGCCCAGAAAAGAAGGCTAGATCCATCTCCAAAAATGCGCAGACATCTGAGGAAGGCTGCGAGGACCAGGAGATGAGAAAGAGCCAGAGGAAGGAGAAAGTGGAGACCCACCGCCCGGCGTTCTTCCAGCTCCGTTTGTGCCACCGCGAGTGAAGACGATGAGGTGGTAGGTAAAAAGCTGAGCCTGCTCGGTGCCAAGGAACGTCAGCCTGACCTTCCCAGTGAGGCAGAGACGAGGCACGGGGCTGCAGAATTCTGTGCTCGGCACACGTGTACAACAAACGTATATCCAAAAGTATAAAGGCTCGACACTCTGCAAATGTGCTTCTTTCCCAAATATCAGTTCTAAATGGTTCCAGGATGGAGACTGAGGAAGAGGACATGGGTCCCACAAGCCATTCAGTGATCCAGGCTGATGGTGCCTCTGCCAACTTCACCACGCAGTTTCCACAGGGGGTCCCGGGTTACTCCAGAAGGGAAAATAATGACACCTCTTCATCTGGAATGGGCAGAGGGGGGATACGGGACTTGAGAAACAAGCCGGGATCCTTGGGCCCAGACGGAGTATGAAAGAAGTGGCCGAGAAGGGCAAGCCCTTTCTGTAGATGTGTGTTTGCACTGACGGCCTCTAACCTTTCTCTTCTGCTTGCAGGACGGGTTACAGAGTCGGAAGGATGAAGGTGCCTGCGTAGCGCACCGGGAATGTTGGGTCCAGCCCCACAAGCTCGCAGGGTCCCCAGAGCTCGGGTCCCCTCTCCTGCAGGGACATCCTCGACGCCACCGCCACGCTGCTTCAGCTGTTCTTCAAGCTGCTTCTGCCAGACCCTCTCGAGGTCTAGGAAAAGGAAATCTCCTGGAAGACAGGGCACCAGGCAGGCTGAGGCCGGAGGTGATGCTAAGGCTCTGAGACCTGGTCTGCCGAGGGTTCTGGGCAAAAGAAAAATGCAGCCTCACTGAAGCCTGTAGCAAGTTGAAATTGATTTAGGTTTCCCTTGTGTTTAGTTTTAGAGCTTTCTCTGTGTCATGGTGCCTGTTCATTGAGTTCTTGTCTGTCGAAGAGAGACCTGCTTTTAAGCTCATCCTCAAGCCTGAAGAGGTAGTAAAATCAAAGTCACTTTGAGGCTTTTAATATTGTGCCCAGTGGTGGGATTGCTTCCTACTTCCTCCCGTTAGACTGAAGTGGGATTCTCGGTGGAGCCATGGTTCTTAAAATTCATGCATATTTCACGCATGTGTTTAGTTGGCTTACTTTTCACTAACTTCTCTGAGGATGGACACAATACAGGTTCATCATTTTGAGCAATAGCTCCTGGTATGGACCACCAAGTGGAGATTTCTCATGCTTAAGTCCTCTCGTTTCTCCTCTTTTACCTTTGACTAGAGATTCACTTTCCTTTATTCATTTCCAGTACTTTGTTGAAATTCTACCACTTTCTACTTGATTTGGTAGCGCTTCGGCGGCAGAGGTAGGGTGTTTGTTACTGTTCTTGGACATGATGCCACAATCACTCTCCCACTTCTAATTGTTGTTTGTTTTTCCTTTTGTTACTTCTTAGTAAGATACCTAGCCTCTGAAGTATGCCTCTTTAGGCAAACCCTCACGGAATCTTGAGTCTTTCTGAGATCCTAAATACAGTGAGTACTTTAAAATGTTCTAGATCATTTCTTTTCTCCCTTGTTCTGGCATGCTAGATTAATCTCCTTCTTAGGCTAGAAAATAAGACTTTAAATTAATCTTATAACTTCCTATGGGGAAGGAGAATAGGTTTAAGAAGAGTTCGAAAGTTTCTCTGTAGCTTTAATTCCTTGCTATTTCCTACTTATCTCAGTTTCCCAACTCATATAAGATTAATAAATAAAAGTAGAAATATCAATAAATGCGTGAAGTATCTTCACAAGGAGGAAGTTTGAAGCTTTGCTTTCTTGCTTCCTTAAGACTGATTCTGATGGTTAGTATTCTGGAATAAGAGAAGATGGTCAATATGTTCATTTTGTTCCTTTCTCATCTGGAACAGGGCTTCATACTTTTGAGAAAATGTAGTTGGGAAGAGAATAGAATGAGTTGCAAGAGCAGTGGCAAAGATCCTTAAGACTGCCTTGGAGGTAACTGGTGAAAATTGACCTTGAAGAAATTTTTATGGTGTGTGTGTTGAGGACTTTAAATTATTGGATTGACCAAAAAGTTTGTTACAGAAACATTGCATGGAAAAACCTGAATGAACTTGTTGGCCAACCCAGTAGAATTAGAAATTTTGTAAAATGTCATACTCAATGCTTGGAGTAAAATAGGGCCCCTTTCAAGCTTTGGTATTTTTAGTTGTTAAAAAAAGCCGTTGATTTCTTATTTTAGAGAGTATAGAATTTTAATAGAGCTAATAGGCCACTATAAAATGAACTCAAGCTATTACATGAAATTTCAAATTATCCAAATTATGTTTATATACATACTTTCTCAATTTAATACAAAAAAAATGTACTTCCAGACAATGCATAATGTAGGTAAAGTCTTGAGTCATAGAGCTTATTATTAAAGACTCAAAGAAAGATAGATATAAGTGCTGCTATTAATACTTTATTATTGCTATTGTTTCTTTTCATAAGATGTTTCAGGATGAGCTGTTTTCTCATAGAAAAAAAAATATTAGTTGGAGCCAAGTTAGCCATATCTAGCTAACCCCAACCCTCATACTGATTTTCATATAAAGTTTATTTACTCCAAATTTGGAGGACAGATTTCAGATACGGAGAGATCTGTATAAGCACTTAGTTTTGAAATTCTTTTGCTCAGGTCTCTTGACCCCTTGCTCACAAACAGGAGAAAGGGTGTCCACCTCTCTTCTGATCCTTTTGTGAATGAAGAAGTATATGTTCTCTGGTTTCAAATTTTGTGTTGCTGTCTTTATGGTTTGAATTATTAAACATGGTTTATGGCTTACTGAAGTTGTTTTGTAAAATATATTTAGAAAGTTTAGTATAACTGTATCAAAGTAAAAACAAATTAAAAAAATAAAACCTGCTACTGTTGATGAGAGAGAAAACTTTGGGGTCATTTTAGAAAATTGATTTCTGGCAAGATTAATAACACTTCTGTTGTACACAGAAATAACTTACAAGTAAAAAAATGATTCTGGTTAGTGGATTTAGTTCCCTTTTCCCCATGGAAATTCTAATTAGGTAGATAGCGGGTATACTCATTGCTATATGTTGATTAAGTTGAGATTAAGTGGGTCAAGTAAAATTTTTCAGTGATTTTTCTAAGACCACTCATTAAATCTGATAGGGAATCATAGTACAAGTTCTTTAAACAGATTATTTAACCATGAACCATGTGATTACTTTTGCTCTGAAATATTTCCATTTTGAAACACTTCCTGTTAACCATTTTGTTTTTGTCAACTTGTCCTCATGTTACTGTCTAAATTTCAACTAATGTCCTCTTTACCCACCTGGAAAATTTTAACATGAAAAAACTCTAACTGATGTAAAGTTATTCGGAGAACCAACAGAGATTGTAAGTAATTGATTTACTTATAAGTTTTGACAGAAAAGGTAGAAATTATCTAGTTTACCCTTCTGTTTTTTCAAGGAAACTGAAACACAATTAGCTCTCTCAAGATGACATAGTTAAAACAAGTAATACCTAACAAATTAAATATTGTGCTTTTTGTATCATCTATAATCTTCAAATAATCTGTGTATGGTTGATATTAATATTTTCATTTTAAAGATGAGATAATTTAAGTTCAGAAAAGTCCCAGGACTTGATATGTCTGATGGTGAATCCAAACTGAGGTTTAATAGGCTTGGAAGACTGCACTCATTACATTCTACCTCTCAGTATTGTAATATTATAAAGTCTCTTTGTTTCTAGTCTAACTCTGTACTGTCAAGAACAGACTTCTCTTATTTGGCAAAATTTAGATTTTAGCCTTACTATATCTATAATAAAAATAGTTCAATAAAAAGGTCCAATTAATAAGAATATTTCTTCTAAAAATTTTTCTATATTAGGTAATAAATAATAAAGTAGTTAACCAAGTATCACTGGTAAAAGAAAACTGCAGTGTAATATAAGCAAAATTTTAGTCATTGCAAGCAATTAAGCTTAGACAATTATTTAACTGAAAAATGATCAAGTGAAAAAGGGATAGTACGCAATCCTACAGGACCCTCCACTTGGCAGGGTCACAAGACAAAGCAGAACAAAGATGAATTAGGCCTCATGGAAAGCTAATAGACTTGAGAGTGTTTCTAAACCATTTTCAGGTGAATGATTTGGGACTTGGGTAGCAGAGAGGCAGGCTCTTCTGTGTAACCCAGTGACCCTTGAAATAAGTAAATATACTCCTGCTAATGAACTCTAGGCTTTAAATAGGAAATTTTAATCTTCTCACGCCTTAAAACATTCTTTTCATTCTGATTTGACAAGGCCTCTTTCAAGAAAAAAGCAAAGAACAATAAAACTGGAAGATTCTCGTCATTGGACTGTGTCGCCAAGGAATGTTGTTCTTGGTGTTTTCAAACTCAAGTCATGAGGACAACTGCACACGGGAGATCAGATTGGTGCAGATTTCCTGAGCTATATTCTGTCCACTACAAAGAATCGCAGCACTGCTTCCATCATGGGCTCCCCAGCGGGCGCAATGGAAAAGACTCTGCAGGAGATGCAAGAGACATGGGTTGGATCCCTGGGCCAGAAGATTCTCCTGGAGGACGAATAGCAACACACTCCAGTATTCTTGTCTGGGAAATCTCACAGACAGAGGAATCTGAGGAGCTACAATCCATGGGATCACAAGGAGCTGGACATGACCGAGTGACCGAGCATACGGCCATCACGGAAGCGCTGTGATGGACTGACACATGTTTATCACCCTCCTGGTTCAACCTTTAGAGGAAGGAAGTCTTCGACTTTGATATTCGTTCTCCTTTCCCGCCTCTGACTCCTGCACCTTAGAATGAGTACTGCATTGGGTAAGAGACCCAAGAAAGGCTAATTTAAGCTTTCCAAGTGGAAGGCTCTTGTTGTAGAGGTTTATAGTCTGCATGAAAATAAAATTTTAGAACAGATTAAAAGAATCTTTAAATTACACAATTTCTAATGAATTCAGAGTTCTGGGGTTCTAGTAAGAGTGATTTCTAATGTGAACTTCTCTCCTAGTTGCAACCACTGTTCTGGTTCTTGGATGCTGTGAAAATACACAGGGCTGGGTCACTGCAATGGGAGCCCTTCTGGTAAGCAGGACAACAGATCCATTCATCACAGAGAGTGATGAACTAGTAACAGGGATTTTAAATAACTACTGTGAGAATTATCCCCTTAATACCTGTCCCTTTACTTGAAAGAACGCAGAATCATCACATTATAAAAATAACAAAAAGAATATATCCCTAGAAGCATTTAGTATCAAATCTTCTACTTGGCCCATGATGCTCAATAACAATCTCTGGATAAAATTTATGTATAGAAGATAATGGACTTCCCTGGTGGCTCAAATGGTAAAGAATCTGCCTGCCAAGCAGGAGATGCAGGTTTGAGCCCTGTGTTGGGAAGATCCCCTGAAGAAGGGGCTGGCTACCCACTCCAGTGTTCTTGCCTGGAGAATTCCATGGACAAAGGAGCCTGGTGGGCTGCAGTCCATAGGATTGCAAAGAGGCAGACAGACATGACTGAATGACTAACACACATAGAAGATGATGAAAAATAAAGCAGTAATCTCATAACCCCTTCTCTAAAGGCTACTATTTATTTTACTTTAAAATTTGATTTCATTTTAAAACTAAAATTATGAAAAAAATAAAAAATAAAAAAAATAAAACTAAAATTATGAAGCAAAGGTCTATATCTAACCCTATTAAGTTGTCTAAAACTACCTGCCTGAGTCTGGACTTAAAAGTTAAACAAAAACACTGAATCCTTGTTTTGCCATTTGCTGTTGTTTAAGTTTGGCTACTTATTTAAACTCATTAATCTTTGGTCTCTTCATCTAAAAAAAGAGGATAGTAATACCCCAGAGACGGTTTTGAGGACTTTATGAGATAATATCTCTGAAAAAGTCTAGTGGCTGTTTTGTAGTAGAGGGCTTTTGACATTATAATGCTTATTTTATTCTTAGAAAATAAAACAAAACATTAAGTTTGTGAGTACTATACAAGGGTAAGTAATTCATGGCAGTGTTTACTTCACAGAGAACTAATTTCATTTCTGGGGGATTACATGGAGCAAATAGTTTTCATATTTCTTTATTCTTAATTTGAATGTCTCTAGAGAAAATTTTTATCTCAGAATTTTTCAAAAGTCCTTTATTGTTACAACCTGTGAAATCAGTTTTAGTTGGGTCTTTGTTCTTTATTTGTAGGACCGAACAGATACTCATCTAGTCATAAACTGCTTTAATGCAGCATCTTTTTTATAAGTCATTAACATTTTCTAAGAAACTTAGAAACTTAACTGTTTCTACTTAAACCCTCATGAATGATAGGAGATATCCTATCAACAACAGTACTTCATTATCGTGATGATTACTGAATATTTAATGAAATGATAGAGGTACTTATCATATATATTAGAATTTTGGATAAATTATCTTGGGGAAACCTCTCCTCCCCTATATTCTAATAACCTCCTTTATCATTTCATTTATGTGTTGAATATTATGCAAAGACTGACTATGTAAAGGACTACTAGATTCCAGTGTTTGTGATCTGGAATTTTATTTTGTTCTACTCAGTAAGCATATATGGAACATCTGTGCCTAAACTGAAGCTGTTTTATCTCACAGTAAGACAAAAGAAACATACATAAAAGGTAGACGAACCTATCTGTCCTAACAAATAATTTGCAGGCTGTTCAGAGAAAATAAGACAAACACTCACACTGTGACTACTGCACAATATTAAAAGCATCCAGATGAGCACAGAAGAGTGTTTGACAATGTTTAAGTAAGCACTGATAGGATGCCTTGTATTAGAAGGATGGTTGCAAGGTGGAATATAGGAGATACTTTCTCTGAATAGGTGAAATTTGAGGAATAATATGGTCTAGATTTTATCCAATCCCACAGCCAAACAAGTTAGAATTACTTTGCTGGATGGAGTCCTGGAGGCTGAATGGAGCCAGAGGAGAGGTGTGACCAGATCCGGTAGAAAGCTGGCAGAAATGGTGAAGCCAATACAGATGAGTTTGTTCAAGAGCAGGCAGATTAAATGATGGGTCAGCAACAGAAGACAGTGCTACAAAGTTAAGCCCGAGAAAGGCAGAAATGATACATAGGCAATCACAGAACAGAGGGTCTAAAACTTCTATTTGAACAGTAGAAAGGCCTCTGGTGTGTTGGTCATGAAGAATTGTATTTTAGGGGGAAGGTCCCCTCCAAAGGAAAACAGGGTGGATGGCATTGAATGACTTGAAAGTGAGGATATGATGAAGAAAGGTACAGATGTGGCAATAGTCGGTCACATATGGGAGACATGGTGTAGCTTAGAACTGTGTGGTAAAAAGTAGTGAGAAATAAGATGGGGCCATTTGAAGCCCGTTATTGTATTCAATACTTGGCTTTGACTCCTAGTTGCGAGTGAGCTGTTGTAAATTCTCGATCTTCACTGACACGGCCCAAGTTCGCAAGCCTAAGAAGGGGCAAGTGTGGCAGTAGAAATGTGCAGGGCATCAACCTAGACTCGGCAATAATCTGTAAGAGTACGTTGCTTGGTTAGCTTCTGTCTGCTCCACAACTGGGCTAGGTGATTCCCTCTTTTTTCAACACTTGCTTACCAATAACATCTTTTTGCAAGAATAGTGGATAATTTAAAGGAATGATTATAAAGGAACCTGTATGTGAAAACACATAGCATGTAGTATTTTGTTTTATGAAGAATGTAGAAAATTATGATCTGACTTGTGGTTTCACACTCTATATTCAGTTCAGTTCGGTTCAATTCAGTTGCTCAGTCATGTCTGACTCTTTGCAACCCCAGGGACTGCAGCACACCAGGCTTCCCTGGCCTTCACCAACTACCGGAGCCTACTCAAACTCATGTCCATTGAGTCTGTGATGCCATCCAACCATCTCATCCTCTGTCGTCCCCTTCTTCTCCTGCCTTCAATCTTGCCCAGCATCAGGGTCTTTTCAAATGAGTCAGCTCTTTGCATCAGGTGGCCAAAGTATTGGAACTTCAGCTTCAGCATCAGTCCTTGCAATGAATATTCAGGACCGACTTCCTTTAGGATGGACTGGTTGAATCTCCTTGCAGTCCAAGGGGCTCTCAAGAGTCTTTTCCAACACCACAGTTCAAAAGCATCAATTCTTCGGTGTTCAGCTTTCCTTGTAGTCCAACTCGCACATCCTACATTAGTCAAATTAAATGCCCTACGTTTGGTAGAAACTTCTACATACTTCTTCATAAGGTAAGTTACCAACCCTCCTGGGCTGGTCTCCAAGAAGGCTCCTTTGGTCCAGAGTCGCTGGCGCCAGTAGATGGAGACGGAGTTCGGGTCTGAAGGGAAGGAAAGTGTTATTCTTCCATCAGAGCGACGAGGCGCGAGCTCTCTTGACCGGGCGTGGGCAGGGCAGAGCTGTTTGGGTCCTGCTGGGCGCCGCTTGCTTGCGGGCCGCGCACAGCCCACTGGCGCCATCTTGACTCGCAGCGTCTGCAGCCGCGCTCCTGCTAACGGAAGGGGCGGTGTCCACATGGCTGTTTCTCACAAGCTGCCCTGGACTGAGGGACGAGCTGCAGGGTTTCTGCAAGCGGCGTTCTATAAGCAAGCCAAACTGGAAAAGCACAAAGGGAAAAAAGGTCAGACTTTATTTTATTATCTAGCTTCTATTTTCATTTCCCAGGAATTGGTAATGGGCTTCGCAGGGGACAGCGACAGAATGGTGCAAGCTGGTATTTTCACTGCAAATGGGGTCAGAGTTCAATTACTGGCTTACAACTTAGTAGCTATGTACCTCAAACAAATCTTTTTTTTTTTTTTTTGATGCCTTGATTTGCTCATCTGAAAAGTAAGAATAATTATACCTTCATTATAGAGCTTTGGTGAGAATTAAATGAGATGACACATTTAAAGAACTTAAAATGTTCTCAACAAATATGCATCAACATATTTGCATCTCAACAAATATGCATCTGTTATCATCAGATGGGTAGGATGCTTTTTTAAAAAAATACTGATTTGAGAGGGAAGAAATGATAAGGTCTTGAAGAGGGAGGAGTGTGTGAGGTCCCTGTGGAGTCTGACCCTAACCTAGAGACTTTGGCCTCTCCAAGCATTCCAGGCATGGCTCATCCCCACACCTAAGGCGGTTCTCTGTGTTCAGGCACAGTTATTACATGACGGTAGGGTGTGTTTCTTAGCATCTAATTGTGAAGGAGTCTAATTCGTGTTTTACCTCCAGGGCCAAGCACAGTTAGCACATGGTAACTTCTCAGTAAATGTCTGTAAACAAATGAGTAAACAGTTCACTGGAGAGCAGAATTTCAGTACGTGCAGATTTAAACGCGCCGTTCACACAGACAGATTTACTTTCCCTCTCAGACGGCGTGTAGTGTTTGGCGCTGGAGAAGTCTCTCAGCTCATGGCCCATGGTGGCCGAGGCCCCCGAAGGAACTGAGTGTGAAGCTGCCGTCGATTCCCTGGGGCAGGAGAGGGACCAGCTTTGTGGCTGATGTTTAGTCGCTCAGGCGTGTCTGAATCTTTACGACCCTGTGAGCTGTCACCCACCAGGCTTCTCTGTCCTTGGGACTTCCCAGACAAGAATACTGGAGTGGATTGCCATTTCCTTCTGCAGAGAATCTTCCCGACCCAGGATCAAACCCATGTCTCCTGCGTTGGCAAGTGGATTCTTTACCGCCGAGCCACCAGGGAAGCCGGGATCTGCTTCAGGCCGATTCAAAAACGAGATTCAGAGCTGCTGTCTTCAGTGATTAAGAAGAAGCAATGCACTCCTCTTTTCAGCAGGCTCAGTACTGAGCTTTAAAATGCACACGTGCGCACACACACTTGCATGGGCACAAATATACAAATACATCACAGTTACAATATCCATGTATTAATTTGGTTAAGTGTTGCATAGTAAGCTGTCTCAGAACTTACCAATTTAAAACAATGACATGCATTTAATTCATAAATCTGTAAGTTGGTCAGGATTTGACAGGAAAATCTCTTGTATTCTGCTTAGCATAGCTGCGGCAGCTTTGTTTTGGACTGAAGGTTTCATATCCACGATGGTACACTCACATAATTACATAATTGGCAATTTAATGCTGGTTGTCATTTGCTTGCTTAGTCTTGCTGAGGCCAGGGGCCTAAGTTCCTTTCCAAGTGTGGTCTGTTCATAGACTGTCATCCATTACAGCCTGGCGACTGTTCCAAGAGTTTCCCAAGAGAACCAGGTAGACGGTGTGTTTTATGATCTAGTCTCAGCAGGTAATGTCAATTGTATTATAGGTCACCAGATTCAAAGAAATAGACTCGAACTCTTACCATTGCCTATCCCAAGCCCCTCCCCGCCACCCCTAAGATCCAGAGGAGGAGTATCAATGTTACATTGTAAGATGAGTGTGTGGAATGGGAGATATTTCTGTGGTCTTCTTGGAAAAGGACAGTCAGTACTTAGAGAAATGCTAATTCAAATTTTGAAAGTCCCAAAGTGACAAGACTCCTTCATGGATCCTAGCCTTGTCATGGTGAAGGGGCTTACATAACTCAGTGAAGCTATGAGTTAAGCCGTGTAGGGTTACCCAAGATGGATATGTCATAGCAGAGTGTTTTGACAAAATGTGGTCCATTGGAGAAGGGAATGGCAGACGACTCCAGTATTCTTGCTGCAAGAACTCCATGAACAGTATGAAAAGGCAAAAAGATATGACATGAAGATGAGCCCCGCAGGTTGGAAGGTGTTCAGTATGCTACTGGGGAAGAGTGGAGGGCATTTCCATGAATCTGTGCAAACTCTGGGAGATCGTGAAGGAAAGGAGAGCATGGTGTGCTGCAGTCCTTAGCGTTGCAAAGTGTCAGACTCAACTGAGCATCTGAACAACAGCAGCAAAGTGACCAGAATATTCTGGTGTGTAGGAAATAATTTCTGGAAGAGGCATACTCAAATGGAGACGATATTTTTCGTTGGAAATGATGGTTTTAATTACATGTAAGCTATGCCATTATACCTAGCTTTGAAGAAAGTTCCCAACAATATCAATAGGACAAAGCGAAGGGGGCCTTAGCTGGCTTAGGTTATTTAGCATGAAGAGCTGAGTGTCAAAAATTAACAAAATAGTTAGGAATCCTCACTTGTCCTGTTGATGCCGTTGGAAGAGGATGTTCTTTTTTATTGGAATATAGTTGATAAACAACATTATATTAGCTTCTGGTGTACTATATGGTGATTGGACATTTGCATCCATTATGAAATGATTACTGTAAGTCTAGTTATCATCTATCCCCATACCAAGTTATTATAATATTATCAATGACCACATTCCTTATGCTGTATATCACATCCCTGTGACTATTTATTATATAACTGGAGGTTTGTGTCTCTTAATGCCAGAAGAGGATATACTGAATAATCAAGGACCTGCAGCTATGACTGCTTTGATATAGCAGAGTGTGCATAGCTAAACCTAATTTTTCTTTATCTGTGACAGAATAAAATTTTCCATCATGACTAAAGGCTCAAAAATCCTACCCACTAAATTGAAAGTAGACACGAAAATCGTAGGAAAATCTGTATCCGAAGTATATATCAACATTCTTTTGTCAGTAAATATTTATTAAACTCTCACAGGTGAAATATAAATAATAACTGCAGTTTTCCTTCAAGGCAGATTAGAGTTTAGCTGAGAGCAGTGTTCAGCAAATCAAATGCCAGCAGTTTTGACCTCTCTGTCAGAGGAAAGACATGTAAATGGTTTTTAAAATTATCTCTTTTAGGACTTTGCCTCAAAACCCAGCAAAATCAGTTGGCTAAAATCTATACCAGCTGGCCTGGATGACTTTTCATTGTCTCTGCCTGCATCTACTTTATTCACAATGGAACTGCTATTGATTTGTATAATGAAGTAATAGCATATGAGTGATAACTTCCCCGAAAGCTATATCCTTTCTCTGTCTAGGATTTGGGGTGGAAAACAGAAACCAATAAGAATTCATTTTCTTCCTCAAAATATATATGTTACTTTCAGTTGGCTTCCTCCCACCCAAAGAAGACTGTCAAAGACAAGTTATGATTCAACATGGGAGTTCTTTTCTCCTCCTTGTGAATTGTTGATCTGTCAGACCAGAACCTGCTCAGGCAAAGGAGAGGATAATCATGGTTCATCTCTTACTTTACTAGCTTCTGAAAAGTCCTCCATTATTCATTTTTCACAATTATATTATTTTAACTTATCCCATATGTTCCATAATTTTCTTTTGTTTAATAATTTAGTCCCTTGAAGAGTAAGTAGTAGATAAATGATGATGCCTTTGTGACAACTTTGTATACTTTATATCTGACCACTGTTGTCAGGATAGGAATAGTTTGAGTAGAATGGAAAGTGTTAGACCTAAAGAACTGGGAACGTGCAATGAAAGTAAGATTTTGTATCTCCTTGCCTGGGTACTTCTATGTATGAATGGAGCTGTGGACTCATATTCCTAAGAGAGGAGCTGAGGCAGAGTCCTAGGGGTAGGATCATATGACTGCCAGTGTCGTTTAAGCCATCTTGCTATACATTGATTAGAATCTGATAATTTACTGAGTCTAGGCAACTTCATAAGCAGGATTAAAGGCGTTGTTTTGATCACAGCATCTAAACTTCAGTACCTTCGGATGCTGCCAGGGCGTAGAAACTGTGCGGTTGGGGTTACCCTCCCTGACACGAGGCAGAGGTTGAGAACGATTCTCGGTGTGCAGGGATGGCAGTCCATGAAGGTGAGATTTTACATTCTCTGTGAATTCCGCAGGCTCTTTAACCTCCAGCCTGGGGCTGATTGAATGCACTTAATACTGTGTTTGGAAGCATGCTCTAGAAAGAGTTATTTTGAAGCTTGGTGCACTCTCTCTTTTTCATGTTTAATTATCTTTATATTTTAAGTTCTATTTCTGTTTTTGAGTGACTACCAGTACTTTCAGAAAATTCACAGTAACATGTCTTAAGATATTAATATGTCATACCATATAAACAATTTGATTTTTATTGTGCATGCTCTTCTTCCTGAAGAAATGTTAAATGAACCTGTTACATTTTACTTTAAGGAGTTAAGCTTAGACAAACCCTTCAAATAGCATGACTTCTTTAGACAGGTGGTAATTTATTGTTAGGCATTCTGAAATGGTTTGCCTGGCAGAAATAAACATACAATAAAATTATCCAAAAAGCATTCAGGTGACTGTTTTGATTCAACAAATGACAAGAAAGTTTGAAACTGGAATATTCTGTGAATTATAGTAGCAACTTTAGCAATTGACGGGCTATGAAGACAAATCAAATGGAAAGGAATTTTGATTTTAATATGAAAAATGTGCAGTTATGTAGAAGAAACTAAAGGGACTAGAAAAAGATTTCAACAAGTAACTGGAAATTATTCTTAAATAATCAAGAAGATCAAGAACACATGGTGATTGACAAGAATTAATAGAGCTATTAAAG